TAACTAATTTGTGTTCACAGAGCACTATATAAATAAAAATGGTCCGCACACTAATTATCTTGTGCTACAACATGCCTAGAACTCAAATTTCTCGAAAAATTGTCAGATTTTGTTAGAGGAAGGATAGTTGGTCAAGCAGATGGTGGAATAAGTCAGCGGCAAATTTCGCAGAATTTGGGAATCTCGCTTTCGACAGTCAACAGAATCATCGTGCAGTTCAGGAAACACGGCAAGGAAACAACTGAGCATCGTCCTGGTCCATCGGAGAGGACAAAAAGGGCTGTCAAGAGGAGCATCGAAATGGATCCCAGATTAACGACTGCAGAAGTGGCCAAAGTTGGTGGGATGAGCCCGAAGTCTGTTCAACGGATTCTTCACAGATTGGGTTATCGTTGCAGAGCAGCTAGACGGAAGCCCTTGTTAAGACCTGCCAACATAGTCAGACGAAAGAAGTGGGCAAGTGATATGATGACCAAGCCTCTGGACTTTTGGAAGACCGTATTGTTCTCAGACGAATCAAGATTCGCCCAATTTTCGGACAGTGGAAGGATATGGGTCTGGAGAATGCCCCACCAAGAGTTTTGGCTCAACAGATTGCAGCCAACTGTGAAGCATGGTGGTTTCAGCGTGATGGTTTGGGGAAGCTGTTTGGGTTGGAGCGAACTCAGTGGAGTGCGTTAGCAACATAAATTTTAGTTGGTGGGAGATCGAGCTTAGTGGAGTGCGTTGACAACATAAATTTTGCGGAATACGTCGAAATATTGGAGGAAAGACTCTTGCCCCTTTATTCCTCGGGTTTCGTGGACAAGAACACAACGTTGTTCCAGGAAGATGACATGAACCCCATCGAAAACCTCTGGGCCATATTCGACCGGCAAGTCAAGAAACAACCAGAAAAACCAACTTCGAAGAGCGATCTACTCCAAGTTTTGAAGCAAGAGTGGGCGAAAATCCCACAATCTAAAATTGACGAGATGATTCTCACGATGCCCCAAAGGATCAATGAACTCCACGAAGCGAAAGGAAGATCTACTAGATATAAATTAAATTTTATATATATATCAATTCATGTGAATATGACTGAAAATTTTAATTTTTTTTTGAAAAGGTGGTGTCTATTTACTTGTGGCCACGCTGTGTAGATAAATAGTAAATTAAAAATTGGAAATATATTTAACCCAAAATCCAAAGATTTCAATTTCTTGCTAAAAATCTTAGCAGGTGTAACTTCCTCATTCACACTTAAATCGGTAAACGAGAAAAGCGTTCTATTCGATTGTTGATTTCTATTTAAGACTACTTTAAGTTATTTAATGAACATTATTGTACGCAATATAAAATTTATGTTACCATAATTCTCTAAAAATGTACTAACGACTAGATGATATTGCGCTTAATTTAAGAACACAAGTCCCTATCTAAAATGTATGAAATTCATCAAAATAAATATTGTAATAGGATACGATACACAATACAGTGTTTAAACAAGTTTATCATCATAACTAAAGCTACAAATAATACAATTTACTGCGTTGAGTTTTTAACGCCGAAAGCAAGCGAAGATTTGAAAAACATTAGGCCTAACATTTATGATGCAAACTCAAACTACAGATTTTTTCTCGATATTTTTTATTTGTCTATTTTTGATCGAAAACGAGAGGCATTAAAAAAAACATTTCAGGTCCAGTCTAACTTATGACTTGTGATAGTGAAGGAAAGGCCTCTTGGGCTTCAACGTGTGGAAGACAAAAGATATACCTGAAATGCTATTTTTACACACCTATGAATTTGAAAACGAAATGGACAAATTAAGAGGAATGTGGAGGAAAAACAGCAACTGTTTTTGTCAGCTCTGTTACCGATTATGATAACAAGATTTATAAAATTTAATAATAATAGAGTTTACAATTTGTGCTCTTATAAATCCTTTGATTTGTGAAGTAGAATTCTGACTTAAGTTTTTCGCGAACAAAAAAAACAACAACAACAAAACAAAACAAAAAAAAAAACACGTAGGGAATTAATTGGATTTTCAAGTAAGCAGAGAATCATATTACTCCAGTGCAATTATTGCCCATCGCACTTTTCACTCAAAAAACATTGTTCACTCAAAATATTTGTTATTGTTATTGTGTTTTTCAAACAGAATTTAAAACAAAAGTTGAAACACCCCCAAGACGCCGAATCTATTAATAATTGATTATACATTGTTTTGTAAAAATGTTAAACTTTCATTTCAGGTGATATAGTTATTATTTCATACAAAATTACAAACTTAACTAAAACATTTTTAAAGAGGGGCTTATAAAATATTATCAACATTATAATATTTCCTTTGCACGGTATTGAATGAGATTTCTCGCACGCCAGGCTATTAGTCTACCAACTGAACTAAAGAGTTATCCTTCTAGCGCTTTCTAATAACCAAACTACAACAGAATTAAACTTAATGAATTTTTAAATTGTTATAGATTGCATAATGCACCCACAGCTTAAAGTGAAGAGAATATTTTGTGGTATTGCATGGATTCGATCCCGGCTGCCAACTATACAATTCAGAAATCTACAGTAGGGCCATTCTGTTCCCATTTTTGAATTCATTCTTCTAGTCTCATCAGCAGTAAAACATTTAGGAGTTCTCTATGCACTAAAACTTTAGCTAAAACCCCTTTGTCCAGTCTAAAACTAAAATCCAGTTTTCCAGGATAACGAGACACTAAAGAAAAAGTTGCATAAAAGAAGCACAAAAGATAATTCTATTTTATCAATATTCAGAGTTTGTAGGATGACTTTCGACATTTAGATGACAGTTGGTTTGTGCAAGCAATAAGAAGGGGAAGAGCAATGAAAATCGCTGTTTTAACACGTTACTGGGAGTTTTTCGTTACTTCAAACCCACGAAAGAAGTGAGGATAATTTATTGAACAATTTTAAATCAATCATGATTGCACAGAGATTCATGAACATTTAAAAATTAACAAAGCCATGCACTTGTCTGAATGGCTACTATGATGAGTAGTCTGAAGAGAACTAGCCAAGAAAGGTCCACAGTAATATAAAAATATTTCTTTGTCAAATTTAAAATTAAGACCGACAGAAACACACACACAGAACCTTCTACTTATAGAACAAGCTACGCTGCTATTTTGATTAACTGGCCCATATCCGTTGACTAAATGTATATTCCTATTATGATTAAGAGCTATTCAAACAAAACGTGATTCATCAAATCTGAGGGCTGTTTTTTTTCTTTGTTTGTTTCATGATGTTTTTGAGGACAGCATACCATGCATGGTAATAGCAGATAAGGAGAGCTGCTTAAGATTTATTCATTAATTAAGTTTTCACATAATGAAGTCGATATTTTTTTTGAATAGAGATTCTCCGTGGAAATGAAGTTCTATAAAACTGAAGCACTGTAGTATCTCCAGTCATAGTTTAATGTATACGCTTGTACTTTTGTATAGAGCATACAATCAGGCTGTAATCTTACTAGTGTCAGGTAATAATTGCAGAATGGTTTGGGATTGAGGAAGTAGGGAAGAATAAAATTAAAAGGGTCATTTTATTTTCGTAAAAAATCAAATGGAAATTATTTTGCTTTCACCTAATTTTTCAAAATCGGAGCACCAAAAGATAAAAAAAAATAGATTAGATGGAAATATAGCGTTAGGAATAATAAAGACAGTTCATATTCTTGTACAAAACTTTCTACTCGTAAAATATTTCTTGTGTATATATGTATATAGGGTCTATCAAAATCGGGACACAAAGGAAAAGTGGATTTAAAACTATGTTGTTATAAGAATCAACGTTCAACAATTCAAGTTGTCTTTTAAGATCTGCCCTAACATCTCTTAAAGTTTATGGTGCTTTTCATGTATAAATTTTCATGATAAACTGGATTGTGTGCGACTTACTTTCCTAATGTGGATTTTAACAGAAAATAGATTTGTAAGCTCAGTGATTGTTTTTAGGATGATGATAATATAGAAGAACACTGGTGCCAGAAACCATAGATCAATAAATATGTGCGTTTCACTTCGAATTTCGCTTGATTTAATTATATGATTTCTCATTGATACCACAAAGTGAATGGCTTCGTGAAACATTTGGGTCATTGTGTGATGTTATAGAAGAGTTTCATAATACAATTATATAATTCTGTTGTTTGCTAATGGTTTGTGGGCGTTTGATTTTGGTTATATTTCTGTTGTTTGCGTCCAAGTTGTGACTCTCTACAGCCTTTACATTAAAAACGGAAATCATTTGATGCAAAAGACAGAAAATCAATTTTACACTAAGCGATGGAACAATGCCTCATATTTCTTTGACAGTTTCTCTTTTCAGATTTTGCGCCCCACCTTTTCAAATCTCAAGCCAGTCGGAGAGTCAGGAATTGTGACGTCACCTCTGAATGTCAGCGTCGTTTGCAACCGACTTCAGTACGTTTGCCATCGCTATTCACCACAGAAAACTTCGTTGCTTCCACGTAAAACCTCATCGTAAGCACACCCCAATACAGTTCACTTCTTTATTGTAGACGGCCGCCGGTAGTACATTTCTGCTGTTGTGTATAGAAGACCCTAAGGTTTCAGTGTTCAACACGTCGCAGATAAAGCAATGATTCTTCGTAGAAACACTAGACGACTTATAAAGTTCATATGTACTATTGCCCTAGTACTGTTAATGGGAACGTTCGTGTTGAAAACCTTGCTGGTTTCCCACCCTCTTAGAGGTCCAAATGGAGAAGTTTTGAGTGGTAGAGGTGTAATGGCACGACAACCAGAAGACCTTAAAATAATAAAGGTAGGTTCTTCATTCTTCATTTGTTTGTGAAATGACCGGTCAATAAAAATGTACGTCTCAAGCTAGATGAGCTAGTAAGAAATTATATTGTGACTTGTTATAACCCAGTATTGAGTAGTAAGGAGTTACGCTGTGATTTGTTATAACTCAGTATTGAGTAGTAAGGAGTTACGCTGTGATTTGTTATAACTCAGTATTGAGTAGTAAGGAGTTACGCTGTGACTTATTA